GACCCCAGCTCCAACCAGTTATCTGGGAGCCAGCATCTTGGCAGCCATCCATGGCATTCGAAAGCGTCGAGTTGCGGCGACAGCAACTTGATATGCAGACAAGGAAGACAAAGTGGCAGGATCGTCAATTAATTCGCTAGATGTTGATTGATTTCCAACAGATAAAAACCCTCGAAAGCCTAAGTGTATAAATGAAATGTGATTCCGAAGCCCTGATTTGTGTAATTATCATCGGCTGGAAATTTTCATTCCTAAAAATTACGAGTATACTATACTAACTTCTTAAAAGGTTCCCTAGATCTTAACTAATATTTTAATATTTTTTGTATACATTAAAGGTTAAAAAATTTTATTATCGACAAATTTAGGAAGCTCTCGGTTTTCTTTTGAAGAAAATTATTGTAAATAATAACCGAGTGGCCTTTGGAGTCCGTTCCCCAGCTATTCGTACATTCCCGCTCTTGATTGATCCATTTATAATGGGCACATAATTACAGTTCCATTAACATCAAAGCCCTGGGCAATAGCCACACTTTCCTCTATCGGTTGCACACCAGATTTCAATCTACGAGATTCTTCCGCGGCTTGTTTGGCCAGTTGCATAATAAGCGTTTGTCGTGTTCGGGGTGTGTTCGCCCAAATTGTCGCGTTAATTGATATTAAATGGGCAGCTTAAGTATCCTTCCTTTGATGATTGACTGCAAGGAGTTGATGAATGGGTGCCGTAATGGTCACAAGATTGGACTCAATTGATAGGGCTCTTGTAGAATACCATATGCAAAATATTATACGAAGAATCGCTGCGGCCGGAATGTAGATAATATCTTAATGAGATAGTAAATGTCTTTATAACTTCAAAGGAACGTAAAAATAAGATTTTTACAAATCGAGGATTTATTTTGAATAATCTGTGATAAGAAAAGGCATTGTGTAAGAATTAAAAATTGTGTAATACAACCTATAATTAACTTTAATATAAACCATTTTCAGTTATTATTATGAACGAAATCCTGGGACTCCCAACTGGTTTTCGTATTTACAATTCAATAACGCATTTCTGGAGCTGGGTCCACAATTTTCAAAGACCCGTAATAATTCGCCCATTGATCTACAATTTATAGCTTGCCATTCGCTTAATCCCTTTGCCAGTTCAACTTTAAACGCGGAATTTTAAATCGTCCAACTGTCGCAGCTCATTAAGCATCCAAAGAATTTTTGGACCGCGACAGGGTCTGAAACAGGCCATGGCTTACTTGCTCATAAATTAGCAACAATTTCATTTCGCTATTGGAATTGACGGCCAGCACCGCGGCAACACCCTTCATCCTCATCCTCATCCCGGTTCCAAAAATGGCACTGGCACCAACTGGGTCCATAAATCAAAAGCAGAGCATGGCGTTTAATACACTTGACGTCAGATTTCCGCGACAATTTGCGCATGAATTAAACATAAAAGCAAGTGAGGTATACACGAGTGGAATGCCCTAGCACCACCTATCCTCCCAACCATACTACTGGGAAGTTATAAAGGGCGGTTGGGGTGTTTTTTTTTGGGAGAAAGCGGTACTTTTTCTGCACTCAGAAAAAATGATTTTAAAAAATTATTAAATTATTCGAATAACAAACCATTATTTTTGTTAGATGAAAAACCATAATTATAATTTAATAATACATTTATAATATATTCATAAAATTAGTTTTTCTTTGTTAAACAATTGATGTTATTGTCTTATTTTGTTTGTCACAAAAAATTAATAGGGTGTTCAATTGCGTTGCAAACGTTGTAAAGTGTAAAAGTGTAAGTCAGTTCCAACAACAATTTCTATACAAAATAGTTTTCAAAAGTAGGCCTTTAAAAATATTTTGTATAGAAATTGTTGTTGGAATTGATTTACACTTTTACACTTTACAAAGTTTGCAACGCAATTGAACACCCTATAAATATTTTTGTTTAATATTTCATCATAGCGCTTAGCGTTGAAAAATAACCTTTTTTTTAGAGGGTGATTCTCAACTTATTTTTTGCTACCAATTCTTCGATTTAAATAGCAGTGCAGTTTCCCTGGCGAGCGGGCAAATAAAATCAAAGTAGGTAACACGCGCAAATAAAACACTTGACACATTAAAACAGCAACAACGGCCTCACACATGGTTGGCCCAAAAGGGGGGTCCTTGAAGTGGGCGCCTGGGGAGCGGGTGGAATGGGCGCGGTGCACAGTGGTTTCCCCCATAGGCCAAAATTCAAAAAATCGACTGAACCCAAAATTGGAAAAGGGTATGCAAATTTTCTCTAAAAAGCTCAAGCTTCTTTGTGGCATACCAGATTTTTCTGGAAAACTATCGGTACTTTTTAAAAAAAGACCTAAAGTCGTGAGCAAGTGTTTAGTCGCAAAGCAAAACTGCGCGCATCACTAACTTTAAAAGCGTGTATTTCTTAAATTACGTGTCCAAATTAATATTCTGTGATATGGATTTTAAAGTTGAAGGTATTATTTTTAAGTTTCAATATTAATAAAAGCTAACTTGTGTTGTCCTTATTATGAAATTACTTTCTAATGTTTTTAGCAGCTGTTGTATTCGTCTATTTATGTTTATTTAAAGTTTTAACTGTGTTCCCCCAAGATTCCCCGATTCATTTTTTATTCAGTGTAATTGTTAATACCTTAAGGTATAAAAAAAGTTAAAGCTAGCTGCAGATACTTGCAGATGTGTCCATAATCAACAATCTACTAATAGCCTCTATTTTTGTCTTTAAGGTCAAATCAGCTGTTTATTGTGTCCTTTATTCGTGTTTCGTGTTTTTATTAGGTTCAAATTGTAATTTTTGTTTTCTTTTGCTATTATTGGATTTTTTGTTTATTATTATTATTTGGTTTTTTTATGTTTCAAGTAATTTACAGGTAATAATCAAAACTAACGGATTAATATTCGTAAGCGGAAAAGAACCCGAAGGCGTGGTTTCTTATCCGCTTAAATATGATTTAGATGCAATAATAGTTAAATAAAAAAAAAATTGAAACCAAAAATAGCAACGAGTTTCAAATTTGGTCCGATATTTTGTATGGTAGCTATATGATATAATCGGGCGATATGTCCAATTTTTTGTTGCTATAATTAAAATATTTTTATAGAATTTTGGGGAAAATTTCGTAATAATATAACAACTAGAAGTATTTTTGGCCGCTGCTCCCATACAAGCGGAACCACTGTGCGGTGGGGGCGTGGCAACGCCATGAGCAATGCGGCAACAAATTTCCATTTTGTCGCTGAAGCGATGACGACGCCATGCAAATAAGAGACACTCCATAGACCCCCGACATCGGGGACGAGCGAAATGAGCAGGATATGAGGCTGCATATATCTCGGATATATACGTATGTGTAGCCCTCACATATCCACTCACGCATTATGCACGCCCGACTATGGAGTGTCATACATACAAATTTAACGAGTCGCATTTATGATACCACAGACAAGTATAATAATTTCAATTAACGACACCCACGGGTGTTTTTGTGCCGCTGCAGGTTTATTCCACGGATCCTGTGGCAATTGGGGTTACGGGGTGAAAGGCATATCGGATATGGGCGAAAGTGTGCAACAGTCTGTGAAAGGGATGCGGAAAGTCACGATTAAATGTGTCCATCCTAAGGTTGATTGGATTTATGTTTAGTCACTATTTCAGGGAAATTGCTATTAGCTCCAAAGTCGTTTAAACCATAAATATTATCATATTTAACAAGTATTTTATGTATTAATATTAATCTTTTGAATAAGGTGTTACAACATTTTAGGAAATCGATAACTAAAAAATAATAATAATAAATGCAGAGAAAGAACCATCTCCAGCCCTAAAAGGAATATAAGTACATATTTATTTTAATCGCATCTTAACTTATCAATTGATAATAATAATGTTATAAATTATTAATCGGTAATTTGTTTGATTGTAGTACTCACAGTTTATGCTTGCATATTGTTCCTAATATATTTTTTTTTCTTTTCTATTGTATCCTAGAAACCGTGACTTTGCACCAGGCGTGAAAAGTAACTGTTTATCGCACGTTCACGACCATCAATGAACATGTACGCCTTCTTATATCCATAAGGCTTAGATGCTAAGGGTAAAAGCAACAGTTGATGAAAATATTGCCAAACAAGATGAGACCAAATGGGATGTGCGTGCTATCTAGGTGAGCTTAAATTACCTGGAGAAAAAGAGAGTGTGTATCTGCATTATAACGTCGCTAATTAACTAAACGCACATACATATACATATATACTTACCCTGGCCACACTTCTTGGCCAAGTTTTTACAGCCGTCGCCATCTCATCAGCATAAAAGTTTTTAATGAGCCATTTTGTTACTGTTGACAACGTTCCTGTTGACGCATTTTACTTGGATGTGGGGCTAAGCGGGTCGTGGGGTGTAATTCAAATGTGAGGCGAATTTGTTATGACAAGCTCAGTTGACACATTTTAATTAAATTTAATTAATGCATTCAGCAGCATCCCTCACCCACGGCGAAAGCCAAAACATAATGCCGCAACAGAATGAATGAACATAAAATCAGGAGCGTGGAATACCAGAGTGAAAGTGAGCTGGCTTTTGTTTTATGATGTGTTACATTTGTCGCCTCAAATGAGATAGGTAGTGTAATTGAAACATGTGTAGGAAAATCGACTTTGAAAAAAAGCTGGGGTTGTAAATTAGGCAATGGCTGGAGTGGGTCAGAGATGTAAGCCAGCTTGGCCTGATGGAATACAAATATGAAGAATGTATAAACACATTTAATTTTATTTACACAATTAACGGATGGTCGAAATGTGAACTTTAGCGTTAAAAATATAACGATTCATTAAAGCGTATTCTATTTTGAATGAAAATCTTTTCCTTTTTTTTTTTTGATTTACCGAATTTGGCCAATAAAACTTACTTACTTGAAACCCATTTGAAGTGGGTTATTTCAGTTTTGGTAAATTGATCAAAATTAACTAGCCGGGTCAAATGGGTCTCAAATAAGTTGTTATAATAATATCAGCTGATCAGTAGGCTCTTTTAAAGGGCTCTAGTACCTATCTATAGCGCCTCTCTTCGGCAATCTCCTCGAAGACATCTTCCAACGATACCTGTATAATTGAATAATCAGCCAGCTGCCAGGAGTTTCGATTGTTTTCAACAAAATTATAAATCTGCGACCAGCTGCTGCCTTCTTCGGGGATTTGGAATGTAAGCCTGCCACTAAACTCATACTTTTCTCTAAAACAAAAAAAAGAAATTAATTGCTTATGATCATTGATGAATTAGGTATATCCAAAGGAACAAAGTTCTATAGTCTCGAAGACATACTCACTTAATAATTGCATTGGGATAGGCTTTCTTTACTTCATCCTCAATTTTCGAGAGTACACTCGCCATTCTGGAGAGAAAATCAATAAAATATTCAAAGATGCTGTGATTGAGCTTAGAACTTACACTTCCGCTCTTACAACTACAACCGTCTTAAGCATCATTCCTTTGGCAACTTTGTTTTTGACGTGCTGTATCGACCCCATGGCGTAGATTTTGCCCCCCGCTAGGATAACGCTTTTCGAGCAAAGGGCGTTTATCTCGTCCATATTATGAGAGGTGAGCAACACGGCCTTGCCCTTGTCGGCCAACTCGTCGATGATGGTCCAAACGTGACGCCGCGATGCAGGATCCACTCCGGCACTCGGCTCGTCCAAGCAAATGAGTGACTTCGCTCTACACGCGATCGCAGCGTTGATTTTCCGCTTGGTTCCACCGCTGTAGTAGCTAATCTGGAGACAACAAAGGATATTTTGATAAAAATTTAGTATAAACCACTTTACTAGTGCAAATATTTACCTTTTTATCCAAGTGCTTCTTAAATCCAAACTGATCAGCCAGTAGTTCACATCGCTCCTTCAACTTTTTAATTGGAGTGCCACGCAACAGAAGGTAGAAATTCAATAACTGGCGACCAGTAAGAAACTCAAAGGACGAGTCAAACTGAGGGCAGTAGCCTAGTTCCTTCATCGCCTTGTTGCGCCTAGTTTTCATGCTGTAGCCCGTGATGAAAATATTACCCATGTCAATTGATTGCTCGCCCACAATCATTTTGAACGTACTTGTCTTTCCGGCTCCATTGGGGCCTAGCAGTCCGACACAATAGTGCCTGGAAAAAAAGAAAGTTTTAAGTAAGTTATGGAAAATAAAGAAAGAACTGAAGATATTTTTACAGACGACAAATGAGTTACTTACGGCCTGAGAGCAAAGGAAATATTGTTGACGGCTAGAGGACCGCAGCAATATTTTTTTGTAACCTCTCTTACGACCAGTGCCCGGCTTCCTATTTGATCAGCATCCATAGCTTGAATTTTCTCTGCCTTCCTAGCGACTTTGGGATCTTCAATTGGACTCTTTCGTGCAAATGTGCAAACGCCCTTGAAACTGTACCAAACACAGCTGCCGTACTCAATAAACATTATTATTAGCCAGAAAATGATAGCCCCAACAATCATGATAATCATCTCCGGCCAAGTCATTGGATCTGTGAATAATACGTTAGGTTACTGTCGGCTTCTAGCATTTTTGTGACTCACTTTCGCACACACACTCCTGCTCTAAGATAGCTAAGGGGTTAACGCAATTTAAATGTCCGTCACTTAGTTCTGGCACTAAGTTGTAGGATCCGCACATGTACAAAAATTGGAAGCATTTGCTTAGGCAAAAGTAACCGGCTAACATAGGATGCAGGTAAGCAACATAGAAAATGGCATAAACAAAATTATTAAACACCGCCAGTAATCCAAGAATAAACATAACGAATACTGCTAGGTAAGCTGAAAGACGAAGGTTAATGATTAAAATGGATAGGAACATATTTTCAATTGGATCTACATATTTGGTTGGGCGCAAAGCAGACGCCAATTTAACAAAAAAAAACCATCTAGTTAAAACTTATTCTTAATTATAGGTAGTGCTGCCAAGCCAAATACATTCCACTTGAATCTCGGCCCATACCCGCAATTAGGATCAAAGATATAGCTAGGAATGTGGCCGAAAACGCCAACGTTAAGAAATATGTAAATATCAGGCCCGCCAGTCCGATGAAAAACAGAACGAGCAGCAGCATATCCCAGGGGGCATATTTGTAGAGTGGAAGCAACAGGGCCAGTGCCAAGATCAAAAAGACCACCATGTCAAAGAGCAGGTGACTCAGCCAATATGTGAGCATGCCCAGTCCGGACACCTCCTGCTGCATCTTCATATGCGAGACTCTCTCTCGGATAATCCCGTTCGAGAACAGGATCATTGCAATGATCAAATAGATTAATACGTATATTGGTATTCTAGAGGTATCGGGGGATAAATATTCCACTTTCCTTCTTTTTTTAAATGGAGCGCTTGATACCTCTATTGAGATTTTTGGTCCAAGGAGCTCCTGGGCCATGACATTGTAGATTAGATTAAGAGCCATGGGCGCAGCATGAACATAGTGCTGGGGTCCGACCCAGCCGATCAGAGGGGTTCCAATGGTGACCGCCATCGGCATAAAGGTAATCTCACCCTTTCCCTTTCTCGTCTTAAATGCGTTCTTTGTGTAGACGTCGACTGGCTCTGATATCACTTTTGATTTGATGTCATTCCCGATCATTCCCGCGACTCGATGCGAAGTACGTATTCCGCCTAAGGATGTGTTTGCCTGCTCTGACACCAAAACGGTGACCCTGTCGCCTCCGTATTCGCCAATATTCATGGTTATTTTTCCCAAATCCTCCGGATCTTTATCCTTCAAAAGCGTTGTCAAGTAGTAAATGATAGGGAGCGACAGAAGCAGCAGGAAGTAAATCTTTTATTATGTGGAAATCAGAAACATATTTCAATTAGATTCTTTATAATGAATAGCGGTGTATTTCGTAGAGAATAATTATTGAGTTTTAAAAAATAATTACCTTGCTGTCATAAAGAGAAAGAGTCTTCTTGATCATCATCGCCCACCAGTGTCTCACTAAATTTCCACAGCACTTATTCGCAGCCTCATCCTCATCATCATCATCATCATCATCGTCGTCGTCGTCGTCGTCATCATCTCTTTTCTCCGCACCTCCAGGCTTTCGAGAGCGCGAGTCCTCCGCGCCGAAGGTCATGAAAATCTCTTCGAGACTCACGGAGCTCATGCCGAATCCCCGTACACCCAACTCATTCATATGGTTCTCCAAATCCTTAAATAACGAGGAAAACGAATTTGACTTGCTAAGCGGCAGTTTGTAGCAAACATCTCGCCCTCTTGTGGTTGTCGGCCTGATTTCACCCATATGACGGGATATCAAAGAATTTAGCTTTGCCACGTCACATCGTTTTCTAGTTTCACAGGTTAAGAGACAGGTGGCATCCACATGTTTCTTGAGAAATGGCAGCGATCCAATGCATCGAAGCTGACCATCGCTAATAATGACAATGCGGTCTCCGAGGACCTCCCCGTCGTCCAATTGGTGGGTGGTCAAAAGGATAGTACGGCCCTCCTTCGCCTCCAGAATTAGTTTCCACAGCTCCCGCCGGGCGCTGGGATCCAATCCGGTGCTGGGTTCGTCGCAGATAAGCACCTTGATAATTGGAACATAATATTTCTTAGTATTTTTAGGGATAACGATTGAATCAAAAAGTACAGCAAAACAAAAAGTATGTTTAAAAATAAGATCAACCTTAAATTATACACACAAAAAAAAACTATGTAAAATCAACTATTTAATAGTGAAAACTGCCCCAACCCATAAAAAATGGAAAATGTCCCAAAAAGTAGGAGATTACCTATAAAATAGTGGATGACCTACAAAATAGTATTTAACCCGAAAAAAAATTGTTGTTTTTTTTTTAATTATGTTTTTAACTTTTTTTTTTTTAATTTAATTTGTTATATTAATTTATATGGAAGTTATTTATAGAAAGCCTCCGCTGGGAATCGAACCAGGGCCGCAACCATCGGAGTCAAGCACTCTAACCACTAGGCCACAGAAGAATGCTTTTTGTAGAGGAAAATCTATAGACTTAAAATCAACATTTAACAAAAAAAAAAAAAAAAAAATATCATCTGCAAAAGCGGGATTTGAACTAACCACCCAGAGATTATGAGTCGGATACTCTAACCACCCTAAGTCCAGAAAAATAGTTGACATACAATTTATAATCGTATTTTTAGAACAACAAAATATATGAAGGAAAAAAATAGTTGTGTTACGATATTAATTGTGGTGTTACTATTTAATGCCCCAAAAAATAAAACAACAAAATACACGCAAACAAATAAAATAGTTTTGCTACGATATTAATTGAGACGTTACTATTAACTTGCCAAATGAATAAAACAACAAAGTTTCGTAAATAGGTTTACTAATATTTTAATTGTTAAATACTATTCAATGACCCAAAAAATAAACCAACAAAATACATAAAAACTTCAGAAAATAGTGAAATACTTTTTTTCTATGTTAATTTTACATAGTTTTTTTTTGTGTGTAGAATTATTGTATAATTATTTGTATTATTAGCAGTATTACTAAATTATTATAACAAAAACCGAAATTTAAATAAGTACACAAAAAAAAAACTTGGTAAAATCAACTGTAATAATTGTCAAACAGGCCCCAACCAGCAAAACGGTCAATTCTACTAAGTAAATAGTTATTCCACAACAACAAAATACACACAATTAGAGACGACACAAACCCAAAGCAAAAACAAAATACACGTAACTATTTTAATAGTTACGTAACTATCTTTGTTGGTCAATTTTACCAAGCAAATTTTTTTGTGTGTAGTATTTTTATTAATGTCTGGTATTAAATCTAATGAAACGTCATTAAAACTAAATAAATTTAGTGTCAATCCCTCAAGTTTCAATCGTTTTCTGGGCAAACAAATTTCAAAATGAATTATCAAAATTTGGTTTTTTATACATACTTTTAGATTAATTAGGAATCATACCTTGACACCTCCGCAGAGCGAACAGGCGACGCTCAGTCGACGCTGGGTTCCGCCAGAGAGATTTCGTGCTGCCGTTTTCCTCCTTTCCTGCAGATTAAGCTTCTCCAGATACTTGTCCACCTCCGCCTTGACCTCCGCGCCCCTCAGTCCTCGCAGCCGGCTGAAGAGCCAGATGTGTTTGGCCGAGCTAAGGTTCTTAAAGAGGGCATTCTGCTGCGGACACAGGCCGATACAGCTTCGGGCCTTGTTTCGTTCCTTTCGGATGTCATAGCCATTTACCAGTGCCGTTCCGGAAGTGGGCGAAAGAAATCCAGTCAGCATGCTGATCAGCGTCGTCTTGCCCGCTCCATTGTGCCCCATTAGCACCGTAATCTGGTCCTCGAACATATCAAAACTCACGCTTTTCACGACCTCCATCTTGCCAAAGGTCTTGCTGAGACCTCTGATCTGAACGCCGGCGGTTTTATCCTGCGGATCTGCCTCGAAAAATTTAGGTTCGTGTCGCTCAACATCTGGAGTAGCCCGATGCATGCCGAGAATCCTGTTCAAGACCCGCTTGTAGGGCACGAGACTTTCGGTGGGGCAACAGCAGGTGCAGAGGAAATGCCAGGGACGAGATACCCCGTAAGAACCTGGACGGATCTTCTCCACGTATAGGCAGATGATCAGGGATAGCAAACTGGCCAGAAGCATTACTAGCAAGATATATCCAACGCATATTGAGTCGCCTGGCCATGAGGTCACGAAAAGATTATCCCACTGCAGGCCGTCACCATAGGACTCCCAATCGGTAACGCTGGTGGCCAATAAGCTCAAACCGGACAAAATGAAAAGGCCGACGAAGGCGCTTAGCCCCTCCGCACATCCAACGGAATGAAAGACCCAAAAGGGAAGATTAGTGGCAAATAAGGTCAGGATTGTGATCAGGGAGACGTGACGCGTCGTGGAGATGAGGCTGCTCATCAGGAAGCTAAAGCAGATCATGCAGTGGCTAAGCACAAGCAGAACGAAGAGGACTATCGACCAATGGGTAAACGGCAGGAAGCTTATGCCCTCTTTTGTTAGGGTGATTTTCCAGCAGAACGTTATTATCGCCGATCCGATCGAAAGCACTATGAAGTTCTGGATGTACCATGCCAGCCACTGCAAGCCGGAGCCAACACCCAATAGGTGAAGTGTCTCCTTAAGCTGGAGTTCCTTTTCTTGGACAATATACTGTAACGGAGAAATTTAGACATTATGGTAAAACTTCGGTGAACCTACCTTTGTCGAACTGACGACCACGAAGAATATTATGATTTCAATTACAAGTTTTGCGAGGCTTTGTAAAGCAAATGAGTATTTTGATTTATAAATTAGTGGGGAGGGAAGGTCCCTAATTTCTGGAAACGTAATATTCTCCCGATCCTTGCCCAATTGCTTGAGCTTGTATGTAATATGCGCTTGGCTCAATGCCTGCTGAACGCTTAAAAAATTGCTTTGATACAGTAGAGATCCCTCCTTTGATAACATATCCTCAGCATCTGCACCAGATTTTATAGGAGCACGCAGGGCGAAAGATAATTTATCTGGCCATTCCAAATAGCCGTGGTCAAATTGAATTCCAATCACACTCATGCCATCAAAACCGACTAACGCCTCATGAAGTTTAATCGAATTTTTAAAGCCTGTGACTTTAGTTTTTTTTAATTGTTCCACAAGCGACGTGAGCATATTAGTTTGAGGTGCGTAATAAATGTTTTCACTATTGACATGAAAAATTAGAATTCCATCTTAGAAAAAGGCAAAAGAGCATGGCTTACGGAAAAGATTTTAAAAGTCCAACAGTTGGTAATGGTTCTGGTACGGTTACTTGCTTCCTTAAGTCCTTTATAACCCTAAGTAACATACATAAAAATGGCAGGATTGCGAAGAAAATGAAGAGACTGATAATGTAGCACGGTCGACCGGGAAGCAAGGAAAAGTTTTTCCACACCAGCAGCAACAATTTTACCATGCAGTTCGGAGCTTTGTGGACAGGCATTCTAATTTAGTTTTGCTTGGAAAGCTTAGAATTTAAAAACTTTGTATATAAATAAATCACTAAACACTAAGCCACTTTGTTTTGTTTTCGCCCGATCGTGAGGATTTTGAATTCAAACATCAGGTTTTATTTGATTAAACACACAAAAAAATTTGCTTGGTAAAATTGACCAACAAAGATAGTTACGTAACTATTAAAATAGTTACGTGTATTTTGTTTTTGCTTTGGGTTTGTGTCTTTGCTAATTGTGTGTATTTTGTTGTTGTGAAATGACTATTTACTTAGTAGAATTGACAATTTTGCTGGTTGGGGCCTGTTTGACAATTATTACAGTTGATTTTACCAAGTTTTTTTTTTGTGTGTACTTCTTGGTAATTGAAAAGCTTTTGTTTATTTTTCAGTTTGATCGGTACCTTACATTACATTATTTTTACGCCACCACCACCCTTCTGATTTATATTTAAGATTCCTGCATCTGAAATTTAAATAATAAATACAAATATTTTAAGTTCATACATATTTAGAGTGAATTTTACCTTATAATTGAGGAACAGGAAGGTCTGAGCCTGATTAAGATCGTCCTTAGTATTGATTCAATTTGTCAGTTAGATATAGCATTTTTGGCCACTAACTCGGCTAGTTCATTTTCTTTCTTCTTTAGTTGTAAATTATATTTTATTTCAAGTTCCTACATAGTAAGATTAACTTTTACCTTGTAACTAAAGAACAGTGAAAGGTGAGCCTGATTCAGATGCAAGTGTAGAAATAAGATCGTCCAAAGTATTAAATTAATTTGTCAGTAAGATTTAGCATTTAACTTGGCTAGTTCATCTTCTTTCTTCTTTAGTTGTAAATTATATTTGGCAGACTGTTCCTTCAACGTATTTTCTAGCTTTAAGTTTATCTCATTACATATGGCGAGGGTACACACAAAAAAAAAACTTGGTAAAATCAACTGTAATAATTGGCCCCAACAGGCCCCAACCAGCAAAATTGTCAATTCTACTAAGTAAATAGTCATTCCGAAACAACAAAATACACACAATTAGAAAAGACACAAACCCAAAGAAAAAACAAAATACACGTTACTATTTTAATAGTTACGTAACTATCTTTGTTGGTCAATTTTACCAAGCAAATTTTTTTGTGTGTACCATCTTTGCCTTGCGATTCAGCTACCAGTTTAGAAATAAGTTTGTCCTTCTTTTTAATAGAATTCTTACATTTAGCTAGCTCGTTTTCTTTCCTGTTAGCTTTTAATGTATATGTTTTTAATTGTTTGTCCTTTTCTTCAGACGCTTTTTTTAGCTGAGAAATACTCAAGTCCTTGCCTATTAAGTCTTTTTTATATCGGTCTAGTCTACGGCTCTTTTCTTTCGACTCTTGTTTTAGTTTTAATTTATCCCTTTTACATATGTAGGGCTGTTATCTTTCTCTTTCGAATCGGATTTCAGTTTGGAAATAACCAATTTAAGCGAATTTATTTTAAAGTGCAATTTAGTTTGTTATAGTCTGTAGTTCACTATTTTTGCTTCTTGTTCGCAAAGCTCTTTTTTGAGCTTAGAGTGTTTCTCATTAAATTGGTCAAGTTCATTATTTTTCGATTGCGATTCAAATTGCAGCTTAGAAATAAAATCATCCTTCGATTTGTCACATGTTTTAGGATTGTCGGTGGTTACTACTTCATTCTTCTTATTCGTTAATACTTGCAGCTCATAAACCTTTTGCTGAATATTAGCGACAAGTGACTCATCTTTATTCGATTTGAGAGCTGAATTTAAAGATGCAATTGTGTCCCGATTCAGTTTGTAAGGCGCTTCGTATAGTGCAATGCTTTCCTTTATCGATTTAATTAAGCAGTCCCTTTCTTCCCCGAATTTTGACATTATTTGGGACTCCGGTATCAAACTGCTGCCAAGCTGAAATGCGAATGTATGTACATATATATGTATATGGTTTTCTAAATAAATACTGTTCTTCAAACAGACGCGCTTACCGAATTATCCTCAATCGATTTGTTGTTGATTAACTTTCTTGAAAGATGACAGATTAAGCTTGGAGGTGGAGAAACGTCAATGAAAACATCGATGCATCGATTTTTTTAATTGTTGGAAATATCGATGTTTGACTGGGCATCACCTTTAAAAGTAAAGCTGATAAAAAAACGGTGATTTGGTGATAATTTTTTGTACTAATGCTAATTCTAATGCCATTCATTAATATCAGGACATCTAACCAATTTGTATATTTAAGCATCGCCATCGAAAGCATCGACTCCGAACTTGTCTACACGACCAATTCTTAAACACGATCAAACTTGTTATTTGTACATTTAAGGGCCAAGTGTCGCCAACACTTTTTAAATACTCCACATTTAGCTGGATTATTTCTTCCGACAGTCTTGTTAGCTCCTACAAATGGGATTACTGCGGCACTTCCAATGCAAGCACCTTCTGTGCAACCCTGTCTGTCATCACAGGGGTTATCCATTTTGTGCAAGCAGCAGCGGAGGCGAAACCCCAAAAGTCAATCAGTCTGAAAATTATAAATGCAAATTGATGAAGCCGGCAAGGCTGGGCTGGCAGCTCATTGATTGCCGGGATACGGAGGAGCATAAACAATGGCCCACCTCACAGCACACTCACACACATTCTGGCAATCGAAGGAGCCAAGACGGATGGACAGTATATAACAATTAGAAGTTTCCTGCTCATCCAAGGAATCGGGCTGCGGAGGTACCAGGTACCAGGTAATCTGAGGCCATGTGGACAAACGACAGTGGCAAAGGCAACTTGTCAGCTCGAATGACGTTTTAATAAGTCACATAATTCATGGGTCGAGAATGGGTGGGGGTCTGTATGTTGGGTTCTGCATAGCGATAGGGGGACAGATTCTTCCCCGAAACTCCGGATTACTTGTTCAGCATGGAGTTGGAGATTGCAACGCCAGTGAAATACAGTGGGACTCGTTGGGCTTAAACCAGGGAACAAAAATAACTGTTATTGTAAATTTTTCATACAAAAAAATCACGCACTTAGAAGGGTCCTAAGAACTTTTTAAATACACCACAATTTTGATTAGCCATTGTAGTTTAAAAATCCGTAATGATTTTTATTTTTTGATTTTTATAATAAAACTCAAAAAATAACTGTTATTTTTTGATTTTTATAATAAAACTCAAAAAATAACTGTTATTTTTTGATTTTTATGAATAACAGTTATTCCTTTGACATTTTTGAAAAAATGAAATAATTAAAAAAACATGATACCCGTGCTTTTTATAACTTACTAAAAATTTGTTAAAAAAGGCAACCGCGCATATTTTATACCTATATTTTTTTTAAATTTTGTTTACCCACAAAATCGCCATAAATCAAGTTTGAGTTTTATTTTTGATCACGACGAATAACTGTTATTTGTCAACTTTTATTATAAAACTCAAAAAATAACAGTTATTCTTTGAGTTTTACTTTCAAATCAGAAAATAACTGTTAAAGTGTGATTTTTAAAATAAAACTTATAACAGTTACGTTTCCTGGCTTAAACTTGTTTGGACAGGAATCTCTGTAAGCGTGGGTTTTTAATTATTAATATTAATAGTATTTGTAAAAGCAATGTTAAATCACTGGGTGATACAATGTTGTGATCACTTTAAGCATATTTATTTTTTATAATTTATTGGTCCGTTTTACATTGTATGTTTGTACTAAAATGACAGAAAGTTACACTGTGATAGGATAAAATCAGTCTATGTTATTATAGTTCTAGAACACTGCACATGAAAAAAATAATTTAAGAAAAAAGTAATAATATTAATATTTATGTCCATTCTAGTAAAATTTTTTTTTTTTTTTAATTTTTCAATTATTTTAAAACAAGAGACAATATAAACTATTAAAAAAATCGTAAAAAAAGAATAAAAAGGGATATTTTGTGTTAATAACAGTACGCACATGATTTTAGGCATATATGTACAACTTAAAATATACAAAATTATGGTGTTAGTTTACCCCGATATAGTACTGAATCTAGTAGCTCACTATTAAAGTTTTTTTCTATTTATTCCTGACACACTGTGCGCACTCACCTGGCTGGACCGCGTAGCATCCATTGGCCTCAGGGCAAACGGCGCTTTTGGGACGCCTTGACACATGCTCCCTCCACACGCTCCACCACCCCATTCCCTGTCCCCTTGCTTGTCAGCTGCTCATTTGTCAATGTAATTGATTTTATGCCTGAGCTTTTGACTAAGGTTGTCGTGCCGTTAAATTTGCCCCGTGTGGGGACTTAGTAGAGGGGATAGCTTGGCCTATAGCAGACACTCAAATAGGAACACTGGAAAAAATCATTCAGACTAGTTTGCAATTCTCTTTAAGTAATATTCCAAATAACTTAATTTTTATAGTCGGTAATAGTTTTATTCTTTTAATGAATAGCACAGCATTCAAGATTAAAAAGGATTACATTTTAGAATATCCAAAACAGTATCTAATGTTTTTCGGGGTGCACACTGATAAAAGGGACGGATGAAGGGGCATCCGCAGACTGGATTGGTTTTTGTGGCTGAGATAGTTGGAGCTACCTGGCAACTTGGGGACTAGCCTTTTGCCTGATATATTATTCGATTACAGTTAGACGTAAATCAAGTGGAAGAGCATGATGTAGCCATCACTTGAGCTCCAGGTTCAGGATTCGAAGTGGGGTTTGAGTTGGGAGAAGTTATTGCGTTGACTTCATATGACAACGATTCAAATTGAATGCCTGCTTTGACCGATGGTCACCTAGGAAGCTTGAATCAATAAATATGTGAAAGAAGGTCAAGAGTGGTCACACATGTGGCGACATTAAAAGGGAAGAGGGATAGTTCGTAGATTAAGGCATTAGAATGAATGTTTAAATATGCTTAAAACGAAAATTTCTTTATTTATGAATATCATTAAATAAAAGATCTCGCCACAGTGAGAAACTAAATTAGGTTAGAAATTGTGAAAATAGTGAAAAAGTTCAATTTGTAAGACCTTAAAGACCTTTCTCTTTAAAG